TATATATAAATTTATTTGATATATATTCATATGATTTTAATGTCGATTTTGAATGTAGTTCAATAACATATATTATGTATTATTATAGTTTATACCTATATTTTTTTAACATTATACTGATATATATCATATCTATAATAAAAGTAAAAGTAATTTTTAGTGATAAATATTGTATCATTACATAATTTATATTTTGGTAGTGATTATTTAAAATGACGAAAAAAATGTTCTTAAATATTTACACATAATGGGAATAATGAATATTGGTCAAACTTAATTTTTCATAAACAAAAATAATATTTGATTATTGCCGGGCAAAATTATTTTTCTTGAAAATTTTGGTTTGACGATACATTTATTGAGTTGAAAAATATATACCGAATTTTATAGTAAAAATCTCTTTCGTGACAAAAATATGTAAACATACATAAATTACTCTGCATAATAAAACATATTCATAAATAACAATAATTTTGTAGTGAAAAATGCTTTCGTGACAAAAATATCTAACATGCATAAATTACTTTCATAATAAAACATATTTATAAATAACTTTGTCCCTCTAGTCAAAATTTAATCTTTAATTTAATTTATGTATAGAAAAAAATATTTATTTTAAAAAATTAATCTTTAAATAAATTTTAGTACTTTGAGATGATTAATTTTTAGTTTTTAACTAGAAAATACTTTGGTTCATAAAAAAAAATTACTCTACTTATAACTTAATATTAACAAAAATCAATTTTATAAACCCTCAAACAAACACACATGCCATACAATTTCAAAAATTGCTTACGAGTTCAATGACCTGTGCAGTAGGAGGTAGTTTGAATTCATACTTTTATTCAATAACTAATAATATGTGGAGAGAGTGTTTATGAGAGCCAATTTGTTTCGGATTAAAGTAAATTAAAGTTCGAGTCAATCAATTTTAATACTATATGATAGTTGTATGATAATTAAGAAGTGAATATAAGATAATTAATGAAATGATAATTTTATGAAATATATTAATTAATATTATTAAATAATAATATCATAAAAAAAACTACTATATATTTAGTAGGTACTAGTATAGTATAGTAGTATTGCATTTACATATTATTCATAAAATCATAATATTATAAAATGATACTAAGTTAATAATTATAATAATAACATAAAATAATAATAATAATAATAATAATAATTTTAATTAGTCTCGTTCTTGAATTATCAAATTTATAAAATATAATTCTATAATTTAAACCAATTAAAATCAAATATAATTAATTTTGATAAGATTTAATTTACTTTAAAGCATAAATTAACTTAATTGATTTAACTCAAATCATCAGTTTTATTAAATTATTTAAATGGACAAATACCCATAACTAATAATGATATACTACTCTGTAAATAATAAATAGACACTATGCAGTGTTTCAGTTTCAATTACGAATCTGGTTTGCATAAACCGTTCAAGTAACCAACAATCTAATTTCTTTTCATTTAATCATTAAATTAATTATAAAAGTAAATTAAATAAAAATAAAATTTAACTTTTATATATTCAAAATAAAATAAATGACTATCTTTTTCGAAAATATTTTTATTTCTTTATACATAAGAGTTTTCAGAAAAAAATCTAACTTTTTATTTAATCCAATTTTTATTTATCATAATTATTTATATATTTTAAAATTATCAATAAATAAAAATAATTATATAAAATCCAATTTTAATATGAATCTCATTTTCATTAGACTTTTTTTTCATCAAAAATATTTTTTAATTGATAATTGAAAACTATTTTATTTCGAAATGTAGAGACTAAAAGTAGATTTTTGTCTTTGTTAAGAAAGTATTATTTATATGCACTGCCAAAAAATCGAACTCCTATCGACATGTTTAAGAAAATTAATATTACTATCTAACTACTGTGTCAAACTTTGTTAGTTATTTTCATTACATAGTTTTACACCAAAAGTGTAATCCTCCTTGTACGAAAGTGTTCAAATTAA